AGACTGGGGATTTTCCCTTTTGGCGTCTGAGAAACAGGGGGGTCCCGGTCTGGAAGGCAGAAATCCCCGACCGGGGATTATTGGAGGAGACCGGGTATTTTTTCCCTGGCCAAAACGCGCGTTGTATATATACCCGGTCGAGACCCAAAATACCCGACCGGGTATTTCGTCCGGGTATCGCGACAGACAGCTGTTTTAAAGGAAAAGAAGGCCAAAGATCAGGGGGATTGGAGTTTTAGAGAGACAGAGTGATTCCTAGAGAGAGAAAGCGACGAACAAGAGTCTCCAAGTGCCCTAGCTTGATCTTCATCACCATTGGAGCTTGGCTTGAGCTTGGAGGAGTGCCGATCAACGTCCAGGAGCAGGAATCCAGCCTTCACAGTATGAATTCCGCGTCTGATTCTGCCTTTGCTTCTTTCTCCATGGAGTAGTTCTCCCATTCATCTGGGTATGGAGAACCCTAGATTTGTATGTTAGGTTTGATTGTATGAACCCAAGTACTGATTCTATGATTTGATTATATTCAATTGAGGTTTGATTGATTGAATGGCATGAATCCTGATCAAATTCATGTTGTTTCTGCTTTAACCTAGAATGAGAATATCTGCCTAGGTTGATAGAGCATCCTTGATTGAAGGTAGGGAGTTGGTGACTTTAGTCGAGGAGCCAACTCACTATTCTGTACCGGATTCACTCCGGTAGTGGAGGTTTTGTTTGTTAAGGCCTCAATCTGTTTACTCCGGTGGAGGTTAGTCGCCCGCTAGAGACTCAGATTGAGAGGGTCTGAAGACCTTTAGTCGAGACTTCAGGCTGTTTGAGAACCTTCCGCAGTATAACTATCATAGAAACTGAACTTGGTAATTGCAATCCGGCTTAACTGCAGTCTAGGGGGAACCATATCCGGGTGACCTCTCTTACCCTGAATACAACCGTTTACTTGCTTTGTTTGTTTGTTAGTTTAGACTTGCATTAAAGTTTCATTGCTAGATAACAAGAATTCACCGAGTAGTCATCAAATCTAGGACCCGGGTTGACATTTAAACCCAAACCCGCTATACTACACTTTAGGAAGTGGTTTCACTTGGCCAATTCTTAGAGTGACAGTAGAAGTGAGTCAAAGGGCAAGTCACGAATGTGGATGAGCAAGAAAATCCCTTTTATGATCTTGCATGGCATCTTGCCCACCAAACCGGGCTTGAAGACATAGATGGGAAGATGAGAGAAGAGGTTGTGGCAGAGGAAGTGAAAATGGAAGAAATGGAAGATCTTGATTGTTCCCAATTGGAGGAAATTGAAGAAAAAGGAAGGGAGGTTGAGGAAGAAGAAGAAGGTGCAAGTGGTGTCCAATGTGAGGACGAGATCGTGGTGGATGAAGCATCCACAAGTTACAAGCTCTATGAAAGCTTTCCACCCGACCTCGATGCCCTTTAGGAGAACCATTTGTGGCTCTTTGCCAAACCAAGGCCAAAACCATCTGCGATCCCTCTTGGTGGATGCGATGGAAGTCAATCAATGATGGACTACATGGTGCGGGGCAAAGGGAAAAAAGAAGAAGAGGTCTCGTGGTTGGAGCCTCAAAGCCGATCAAATTCACGAGACCTCAATCATGGACTCGTCCAATGCTCGTCTTGAGATTTCATATCACCAACGAGAACCTCAACTTCAAGGAGGTTCTCGGATGGACCGAAGCTTAACGAGCAACCTTCTAGCTTATGACGTAAAAGTAGCGCTTGTTGGGAGGCAACCCAACGTTGGTTTGTGTTTATTTTTATGTTAAGTACTGTTACTGTGCAATAACATCGCCTTGTGCGAGCTTGTGTGTTTGTTTTTGTACCCTTGAAGCTCTCTCCTTTTCATCTCTGGTCCAATTCGGTCAAGAATTTCACTCGCCAAGCTATGCGGTAACATTGTTCTACCCCTTATTTTACGCCATTGAGGGCAATCTCGAGTTTAAGTGTGGGGGGTAGTCTATCTATTATGCTTGTGCGTGTGATTGATTGCTTGGAGACTTGATGTATGCCCAAGCATTGCTTGAGGGCTTCAAGCATTGCATGTTCATTGTGGCCGGTTGTTGGAGGATCTTTTGTTTATTGGCATTGATCTTGGATTTCTTACTTGTGATCGAGTGCATCATATTATGATGATTGAGAATTGCATTAGGCTGGTGCGAATGTTTGGTTCTCATGCATGCAGAAATGAATGGATGTCTTGACTTGATTATTTATTGATTACAATTGCCATGCATTGAAGTTTTTGAAATTGGAATAGATGATTGGATGATTAGGTAGCCATGTGAGATTTGTGCCGATCGTCTTTTTCTTGTGCGATAGATCCCTCCTACCATGGCAAGTAACATCACAGTTGTCACTAGTGAGTATGATGGAGGCATAGGATTAGTCCACGCCCAAAAGTTGATTGTCCCGAAATATTTTATCCCCTAGTCAACCCCCTTTGAACCGTGTGACTTTGGGGGCTGTTCTAATGTTAAGAGCTTTGTGTTTGTTGAGCTTAATGGTGATTGAAAGAACAACCCTCACCCTTCCTTTCTTCGTGTCTATACGTGAGTTGCCCTTGTGTCCCGGAGCTCTCGCTTTTGAGTTCCATTGAGGTTCTACATAGGAGGATTGCGTGCGGTTCTGGCTAGGAATGAAAGAGAAAAGAGTAGTGTTGGAGTGAGTTCTTAAAAGAGAGCATTGGTTGTTAAAGGAATGTGGCAAGTGTTTAGCTCTCTAGTACCCCCCTCAAAAAGAAAAGAAAAGAAAAGAAAAAGAAAGAAAAGGAAACTAGAAAGAAAAATAACCAAAAAGAGGTGATAAAATGGGGTAAATAAAGTAGAGAGTGCCAAAAAAATCGAAGAGTATGCTCAAGGAGTGGTTTCTTGGCATTCAAGCCATTGAAACTCCCAAAGTGTTTTAGTACTCCTTCACTACCAAGTCGAAATGAGATAAAAAGTGCGGACCGAGGAAGAGCGTGTAAAGGTAGTTCGTGATGGTTGATAGTTTGGAAGGGACAAGCAAGGTTTTTTGGCCAATGCTAGTGGCCATTGCTTGTAGAGAAGATTCTTAGTCGAAATCATAGAACCTTCGGGTTTAGGGTGAAGATATAGAACCTCATGTTGTGTTTGCCACCACCCAAAAAGCTTTTTCCCCATGTCCAAGACAAATTCCAGTCATTTGAACCCGTGTCGTGACAGCTTTGGAGCTCGAGTCATCCTCTACACGAAGACATGCTTTGGAGCTCAATTTGAAGTACAGTATGTGGGTTTTCTGGCTTTGGAAACGTGGAAGTCAAAACCGGAGAACTGCCTGAAATTCACTAAGGCAAGGAACGTGTTTGAGATGGCCACTTTGGAGCTATATTCGAAGAGAGTCGAGCTTCGAGGACTCAACCACATAAAAGTGGGTATCTTCTAATACCAAGGCGAGGCATAGGGTGAAGGAAATGATACCTGGAAGGCATTGAACGAAGGCCAGCAACTTCGTCTGGACACTGCTTGTTGGCGTGGGAAGCCTAAGGAAATCCGAATGATGTTCGGATTAGGATTTGTTCACATTTCTGGATTTCTTTGCATTTTCGTGTTAGATTTGATTTCCTTTGAGTCCTAGTTTGTTTAGGGTGTTATTTAATTGCGTTATAAGATTAGTTAGCCTATTTAAACTCATGTCTACGATGTAATAGTCAGTTTTATGAGAGTTAACCGAACAAGCCGAGAGTTTATCGCCATAGATTCGTGCTTGTGGATTCTGAAGATCGTTCTAGGGTTTCTAGGCTCGATCTTGTACTTGTATCGTTTAATTAGTCACATTAAGCGCGGCCAATCTTCAACTTATACTTCTCGAGCTTCTTTCCCCTCGTGAAAGCTGCACGAAAGTTCCATCACAAACTGAACGCAAGAACCCTGTTTTTTTTCTTCCTTTTCCAGGTCAATCCAATCCTCGAATTGAGTTTCAGCTGCGTTTCTATTATCACACACCCAGCTAGGGCGTATTAAATGGCATCAGAGCCTTGGTTCTACATAGTGGACAGGACGGAGAAGCACGTTGTTGGCGCAACGCGTTGCACAAGGTCGAAGGGTTCTGCTTCCAACGACCCTGAGGTTGTACACCATCGAACAAACCAGGACGACGAGTTTAATTCTGAGGCTCAAGTCGATAATCGGGCAATGACGGGACATCAGATTGACATACATGAGTGATAGACCATTGATTGCACATGTTTTTACCTCCATTCTTGAGCCGTTGGAGAGTCTATTCTCGTGTTTGAAGCCGATTTCACGCTAGGTTGTGTGTTTATGTCATATTTCAGGACTTGGCATTGACGTGAAGGCGAGGAAACGAGCTTGGGTCAAAAAGAGGACGTTGGAGTAGAAGGGTGATGGAAGAGCAAAATACCCGGCCAGGTAAAATGCTAAGGAGGTCGGGGATTCGTGCTTTTGGATGCCAAGAAGGAAGAATGGGTCCCGGCCAGAGAGCAAAAATACCCGATCGGGGATTACGACTAGGGATCGCGGCCTGCTTGTTCTTAAGGGAAAGAAGACTGATTTTTGAAGGGTTACGAGTTTTATAGAGACAAAGTGTATACCTAGAGAGAGAAAGTGACGAACCTATTTCTTCAAGCGCCTTATATCGATCTTCATCACCATTGGAGCCAGGCTTGAACTTGGAGAAGTGCTGACTGATTGCAGAAGCAGAATCCCATCCTTCAGAGTATGGTTTCCGCGTCTGAGCTAGATTTCCCGTCTCTCTCTATGGAGTAACTTTCTCATTCACCTGAGTATGAAGAACCCTAGATTTGTATGTTAGGTCTGATTGTATGAACCCAAGTATGAATTCAATGATATGATTATATTCAATTGAGGTTTGATTTCTTGAATGGCATGAATCCTGATCAAATTCCTGTTATTTCTGCTTTGACCTAGAAAGAGAATATCTGCCTAGGTTGATAGAGTACCCTTGATTGAAGGTAGTGAATTGATGAATTTAGTCGAGGATTCAATTCACTATTCTTTACCGGATTTACTTCGGTAGAGGAGGTTTGGTTTGTTAGGGCCTCATTCTGTTTACTCCGGTGGACCTTAGTCGCCCGCTGGGGACTCAGATTGAGAGGGTCTTGAGACCTTTAGTCGAGACTGCAGACTTTTTAAGAACCTCCCGCAGTATAACTATCATTGAACTTGAACTTGGTAAAGTACAACCCGGCTTGACTGCAGTCTAGGGGCAACCATATCCAGGTGACCTCTCTCAACTTGAACAGAACTTTCACAACTTTGCTTGCTAGTTTAATTAAACCTTCAATACACTTGAACCACTAGATAACAAGACTTTCACGGAGTATTCTTCACACCTAGGACCCGGGTTGACAATTAGAACTAAACCCGCTATACTACGCATTAGTAGGTGGTTACACTTGGCCACTTTCTAGTGTGACGGTAGAAGTGTGTCAATTTTTTGGCGCCGACGGCTATGTTGTTGAAGAAACGTGATTTCTGTTACTTTAGCATTTCCATTTCTGCATTGACTGTTTGCTTTTTCCCACTTATGCCTTCCAGGGTTTGCTTGCTTGGCTGTGTGCAGGTAGTGCATGACTCGTAGCCAGTCGGGAGGTTTACTACCGTTAGATCCATGGCTAGAACTCATCTTTCGCCAACTAAGGAGACAATAGCGAGCGAGACTGGCTACGAAGGAAGTGCGCATCGACGACCACTTGAGCAGCGATTCTGAGGAGGAATACGAGATGGACGGTGCGCCAAACCCACCCCATGGGATGCCTCTCCAGGTTTCCCCAGTGAATCAGATCCTGGGGAAAAACCCAGTTTCCCCAGGCATATGGGGTTCAGCATCAACCACCGCTGCCATGTCCTATCATGGAGTATTACTACACTCCACGGGTTCCCGACATCCGTCCCGTCATCCTCTATCCGCCCATTCCAGCGAACAACTTTGAGATCAAACCATGCTAGATTCAACTGATTACATCTTCTATCCAGTTCCATGGCTTGAAGGATGAGGATGCAAGGGTGCACCTTTCCCGGTTCCTGCAGCTTACAAATGGATTCAAGATGAATGGTGTACCCGATGATGCAATCCGTCTCCACCTTTTCCCCCATTCTCTGGTGGGGCATGTGAAGCGGTGGTTAGAGAACCAGCCCCCCACTATCCATCACATCGTGGGACGATTTGGCTGACAAGTTCGTGCACAGGTATTATCCGGCATCGAAGACTATAGAGATACAGCGGGAGATCACTCATTTCTGCCAGGAGCTAGATGAGTCACTTCGTGATGCCTGAGAGCGATACTCGGGATTCTTCTGGTAGTGTCCCCATCATGGCTTTAGTGATGCATTAACAGTGGGGAATTTCTACAGCGCTCTGACCCAGAGCCAGAGGGTGATCGAGTCTCTATGCCTAGGAGGGGATATTCTCACCAAGACTCCTCCCGAGCTGAATCAGATGATCAGCACTCTGGCTTCCAGGGATCACTCTTAGGTGCATAGCACCAGAAGCAGGAGTTTCCGGGACCGAGGAGTGCACGCCATGGAGGCCAGTTCCGGGCTAGAGCGGGAGGTGGCTGAGTGGGTCCAGACATTGAAGCAGCCCAACAGTCTTATTCTGTGGCAGAGGACTGGCCGGCCTCCAATTGCTCAATTTCAGTGGTGTGAGAGCTCGAACCATGTGGTGGAAGACTGTCAGGCTATGCAGGAGTCTTCTACACCCCAGGAGCAGTTGGACTTCATCGCCAATGCTTGGCGCCTTGATCCTTAAAGTGGTACATATAATGAAGGTTGGCGCCAACATCCCAACTTCTCCTAGAATAACAACAACACCCTAAACCACATGGTGCCCAAGCACCAACAGGTGGTTTTCAGCAGAGGCAGCCTTTCAGGACAGGCAGGGTCCATTTCCCCAGCAGCAACCTTACCAGCCCAGACAGGGGCAACCATTTCTGCAGCCGCAGCGCTAGTATGTCGAGCCACCAGTAGCTCCAGCCCCAGATAATCAGGTAAGCGAGCTGAAAAACATTTTGGCGGCGTTCATGACTACCAGCCAGGCAAATTTTTCCAGGATATACCAGAGCATTGCCTCACTGGAGGTAGGTCAGAGGAACCAAGGTGCCACATTAAAGGACCTCTAAAATCAGATTGGAGGAATAGCTCGCAAAATAATACCAGGGCACCGGGAACTCTTCCTGCCACCACCGTCCCCAATCCGCGGGAGCCACACCAGCAGCTGAATGCCATCACTACCAGGAGTGGCAGCCAACATCGGTTGTACCTGCCCCGGCCAAGCAGGAGGAGCCATTACATGCTTCAGCACTTCCAGCCGACGATGCAAAAGTGAGGATGGAGAAGGAAGCACCTGTTCCCCAATCCACAACCAGTGGTTAAGGAGCATGTTCCCCAGCTTCCCTTCCCCACTCAACTACACAAGGACAAGCTGGAGACTGAGTTTGCCAACTTCATGGCAATGCTGAAGCAGGTCAACAACAGCCTGCCGTTCGTGGAGGCACTATCGAAGATGCCTAAGTACACAAAATTCATGAAGGATCTCCTTACCAACAAAATGAGACTTGGGGATCTCTCGACAGTGACGATGAGCTAGGAGTGCTCGGCCATTCTGCAGAGCAAGCTTCCAGAATAGCAGAAGGACCCAGGCAATTTCACTATCCCTTGCTCCATTGACAAATTACATATAGACAGGTCCCTGGCGGATCTAGGTGCTAGTATCAATGTTATTCCATACAAATTGTTCAAAAAATTAGGCCTAGGTGAACCCAGCACAACTAGGATGAGTATTCAATTAGCTTACCAATCTGTGGTTCATCCTAGGGGTATAGTGGAAGACCTCCTGGTTAAGGTTGGCAGGTTTTGTTATCCTGTGGATTTTGTTATCTTAGACATCAATGAAAACACATAAGTGCCACTTATTCTAGGAAGGCCTTTCCTGGCCACCGTCAGGGCCCTCATTAATGTCTGTGATGGGATTTTGGTCTTGAGAGATGGCAAGGAGCAGATAACTTTCTCTATTGCTGATAATAATATGCCTGCTGCCTCGAGCCTGTCGTGTATCCTTCTGTGCGTCTCATTTTGTAGGATCCCCCTCTCACTCCTTCGCCACCACTCCCTTCGACCTCACTACCAAATAAAAAGATCAAGGAGGGGCGGCGGCCGAAGTCGCTGGTGGCTAAGCCTGCTCGAAAGAAAGCTGGTGACCACTATGAGCTGGTCCCCCCTCATGTACCACGACTACCCTGGCCATCCGAGTACTCACTCGCTTGCATCCTGTCGGATGGCCAGGTCGAGCTGACAAATACTGGTGGTCATACCCATCGGGTGCATGGACACCATCTGAAGCTGTACCACAAGAGCGATGTGGATCCACTCTTGGAGGCACCTATTCCTGCACCCCTCTGAGCATCCACCATGGCCGTCCAGCTAAAACACGGTAAAGAAGCGCTTATGGGGAGGCAACCCCACCATGGTGTGTTTTCTTTTTCCTTTGGATGATGTGCTATGGGGCTGACATTTGACCTAACATATATGTGCTTAAGTACTTGTGTCTTCTTTAGCCTTGCCTTAGCCAACTAGTCCCATTCTAGTCTGTTTCACTCCGACTGGTCCGCCTTCCAGTCTCATGCGGTCCGCGCTTACCGGTAACATCGTTCTCCTTATCCTTCCATCTCATCCATTGAGGGCAATGTCAAACTTAAGTGTGGGGGGATGTTTCTATTTTGACTACTTAGATCTGTTTGTGTGCTTGGAGCCTAGTCCACTGTCCAAATTTCTATTTGAGGGCTCCAAGTACGTGGTCCTTGCAAATTGTCTGCTCAGTATGCTTTGAATTGACAACGTCTCTATAGTAATGTGCAACCTAGGGAGGTAGTGTAGCACTATGGAGGATGTTGAAGTATAAGATTTTTCCTATCTAGCTCTCTGTTGTGCCGGTTGATTTTTGTGAATTAGTGGAGTTAAGACCGTTGAATTCATGTGGTAATGGTGACTCCTTTTGAATTATGTTTTGGACTCGTGTAATCGAACATGGTGCTCATGTGGGAAATGAAAAGCAGTTGGTCCTCCATGTCAAAATCATTGAAATCTTGAACATGGGGTAAGCCCAACGTGTGTGGCACCGTTCATTGCACAAAATTAGGTTTTGGAAGAGATTTTAGTGATCCTTGGTGGGGTACTACTACAAGGTGAAGCTAAGCTGTCTATAGTACAAGTAAAATTTTCACCCGTTAAACGGTTTGCCTACTCGAGGATGTGTTTTTAAGGGCATGGACAGAGCTTCCGAACCCCCTTAATTTCATTGATCCTCGACACGAGTTCAGGAAAAGGAGTTAAAAGAAGTACTCTGGCGAGTGCCAAATGTACAGAAGTTGCTCTTGCTCGACGAATAAGGGTCGACCGCGCAAAGACTGCAGTTGGGACCCCCGCCAAGTAAAGAAAAAGAAAAAGAAATGTACGATGGAAGTGAAAAAAGGGGTTCCAATGGTGAAATGAAGTGAAATAGCACCCCGTTCACACACATGCCCAAATTTTAAGCATTACCTCCAACCCTCACATTATGTTTAGCAGAAATAGCAGAAAACAAGCAAAAACCACTATGTGGAACTTTCTAAGAGATGCAAAAGGGTGATTTTCCATTGTAGACCAAAAGAAAGGAAAGTACACGACTCAAAGGGGCTGACTAGGGGGTATGACACACCAGGACAATAAATTTGATCGTGGGCTATTCCTATGCCTCCATCATCTTAGCTAATGACAACGTGAATGCTACACATCATGGAAGAGCGAACTATCGCACAAGAAAGAAACAAGCAGGCTCAAATCTCGCATGACTACCTATATGCTATTCTGATTCCTTGAACTAGATGCATAAACGACTGTCAAGAGCAAGTGATCAATCCAAGTCACAGTTGGTAAGCAAACAGTTGAAAAACAGAACCCCTATACAACTCTACTGCACGTCTCAGTCATCATTATAGGTTGTCTCAGTCACAATCCAGTTATCATGCATAAATTCTAATAGCCATTCGATTCATCAATTAAACCACAATGCCAATACGAACAAGCAAACAACAGTACTTGGAGCCCTCAAATCTCGAGATTTGGACAGCGGACTAGGCTCCAAGCACACATATATACGTTCCAATAAATACAAAGCACCCCCAACACCCCCCCCCCCCTACACACACACTTAAATGCGATAGTGTCCTCAATGGAGTAGAGAGGAGGGGAAAGATGTTACTGTGAGATGAAGATTAGGAACGAAGACTGGAGGGCAGACCAGTCAAGGGCAGGGACTGGAAAGGACCAGTCCAAGGCATAGAGCTAAAGGCATCAAAACACACACTAGGTGAAAGAAACGAAGTTCCATGTCTACAATCCAAAGGAAAAAGACATAAAGAAACAACAAAGAACATGGAGTCTCAGTCTGGAAAAGAAATGAAGTATAGAACCAGCCACTCACCACTAGAACACATCGCCACCATCGCCTGTGGGTGGGGGGTACTCGTCCTCATACCCCGGTGACTGCACAAAGGGGTAGTGGACCTAGTTCGGGTCCAGGCCCAGGTAGGACATGATGTAGTGCTGGCCGGACATGAGACGACGGCCGCGGTCCCGCTCACGATTGAGGCGGGTGTGAATGCTCTCCTGGTCGGCGAGAATGCGCTCGTTCTCCTGTGCAATGGCTGCCAACTGGTCAGCAATGGAGACCGCGGGGGTGTAAGATCTGGGGACAGCGGCGGAGGGACTTGGGGGGCCAGGGTACAGCGAACCGGATGTCGGGGGCCCCGGCGCCCCCCAGCAGCGCTCGACTCTGGCTGGTCTTCCCCGGCAGGATCAGGCACAGGCGGCCGAGGAAGACCCGCAATCCATGCCAAACGCCCCTCACGCGCAAGCATGTGCTGATGTTGGAGGCTGGCCTCACTGAATGGGGTCGCTGCACGGACCATGGTCATCCCATTAGTATCGACCCCATAGTAGAGGGCCAAGGCGGTGATCACCGCGCCACAAACAAGGTAGCGATCCTGGCTGGCGCAGGCCTTGGTGAATGTACGGGCGATGACAGATCCCAGCTCGATAGTGTCCTCTGACCGATCCATCGCGTGCATGAAGTACAAGGTCCGGAGGGTGACCCGGTTGGCCGAGCCCCGGCTGGGAGTGTAGGACTGGGTGAGCAGGTGGTTGAGGA